TCCAGGACGGTCTTACTCAAGAGGGACGTTCGGCGGCCGAAGAGGAACCCAGGACGACCACACGACTGCCCCAATAGAGCGCCGAGGCCCAGACGGCAAAGAGGGCCCCAGACATGCCTAAGAAGGCCCCACGGGACCCCATGAGTATCGTTTAACCGATCCCCATCCCCAGCGGCGTGGCCTGGGCCCCCACTGGCCGATTTACCCCCCTAGATGGGGATGTAGGCCGTTCCCTTCGGGTTTCGAGGGGTGTATCCCCAAATAGGGGGGTACTTTAGTGGGGGTCTCGAAGGCGATCGGATAAACGATACCGAACACGGGACCCCACGAAGTATGGGGCTCACGAATGTTCGACGGCACTCCACGGGAGCTCCTCAATAAACGAGGACGGCAAGCGTGTCACGTGCAACGGCCGTTCATTTCCTCCTCGTCTGCCTCCTCCGCTTCAATTTCATCGCCATCATGATGTTACGCAGCGCGCTTGTCCCGATGCTACTCCTCCTCCTCCTTCTCCTCCTCCTCCTCCTCCTCCTCCTCCTCCATCTGGTTCTCCTCGTCCTTCTCCTCCTCCTAATTGCCCCATCCTCGTCAATTGTTCCCTGATTCTCGAATGCCGCCACATGACGACCTCAAACGATTCAATCTAAACTGAAAACGGCCGAGACTTGACTCGTGATGGTCTTCTAACGGTTACTGAAAACGTCAACGTGGCTGGGTGGGGGGGCTTGCCGCAAGCAACTGGGCAATGACTTGGAGTGGCAATGGCAAGACGTGAGTCGGTCCATCCTCCGCGCGAACGGCGCGCGTGTGTCAGGGATCCCAGGAGTCCCAACGCGCAGCAAACGAGCGGCAGGATCCACTTCCCACGCACAGCAACAAGGATCAAGATTCAAAGCTATTCCCAAAGACATATTTGCACCCGATGGTTCTTGCATGCTCTTGAGATAAGACCATGGGGACCATTTTCAGACGTTTCTGGCGGTTTCCAGCGGCTTGCGGCCATAGAGTCCTGCCCCACCTGGTCCGAATCCCAAAGCGCGAAAACGTGATTGCTTGAAGCTGCAACAACATCACATCAACGACCGAACTTCTCTTCAGCGGTCTTCTACGTAAAGAGAAGACGCAGGGACCACAAAGACACCATCGGGGCGAAATTCGCTGGCCGAACGGGCCAGGGCGTGCTAAGATCTCCGGTAACTGCTAAATAGTACTTCTACTTCGCGCGCGCGGGGCGGCCCCTGGGGGTCCCCGGACGAAAAGTACCCCGGCAGGGTCCCGGCAGACTCGGGTCAGAGATGCCGGACCAGGCAATTTTTCGACACCCCTCACGAGGATCGTGGCCTCCGAGGGGGGAGCCGCAATCGACTACCCCCCCTCCCGCCCCAAGAGGCCCCCAAGAGCCCCCAAGAGGCCCTGGGGGCCCCCAAGACGCCGCCAAGGAGCCCCAAGAGACTCCCAAGAGGTCCCCAAGAGGCCTCCACGAGGCCCTAAAGAGGGCTCCAGGGCCGGCGGAATGAGCGAAGCGATGAAATAAACAAAAAAGGGCACAACCACCGAAGCAAGGCCAGGGACCACAAAAGGCTACATGAAGCAACGAGACTGCACGTCACCATGGACGCCACCGCCGGGGGCGACAGCCAAAGCTGACACAACGGATCCGCCACCGTGCCGCTGGGCACGCAGTGGGCGTGCCCTCGAGGCTTCTTGGAGGCCTCCTGAGGAGTTTGGAGGGCGTAAAGGCGTTTGGTACCGATAGTTCTGCGACTGGAGGCCCTCTTGGACAGTTTCGGAGGCCTCTTAGATGACTCGTGGCCTGTCTGGGTACTTTCTGAGGCCCTTCGACCCCCATGTGGGGGGGATGCGTATCTGCCCCCCCCCTTCCCCACGCAGTTTGCCTCGGTGGGCCCTTCTAGGTCCTGGCCCCCATTTCGAAACCTCAATCCCCGCTCCCGAAGAGGTCCGTGAAATGTCCGGACCTCTCGCTCTGACATCTCCCGGGCCACCCCTGCGTGCCCCCCCGGGGCTTCCCGCGTGCCCCCAGGGTGATTCGCTCGGGCCCAAGGGGGCCCCAAGACGGGCCAAGGGGGCTCCAGGAGGCCCCGCAGGCGGCCCAAGAAGGGTCCGAGCCGCGGAAGGATCGGCCCCAGACGCCCATTGTGGCTCCCAGGCGGCCCCAGAGGCCTCCGAGACGCCACAGGAGGCGTCCAAGAAGCCTCTTCGAGGCGAACATCATCGATTTCCCTTAGGTTTTTGAAGGATTTGGGCGATCTCGACTTCCCGGCTTTCCGATGCTCCAAGACTGCCAAAATGGCCCCCAAGATCACCCCAAAACGGCCCAAGAGGCTCCAAGAGGGCTCCAAGACGGCCGAAGAGCGCCTCAAGACGGCCCAGGATGCGCCCAATACGGCCCAGGAGGGCCCCCAGACGGCCCCCGAAGGGGCTCCAGATATGGAACAGGAATCGAAGATCCGAGCCTTCCACTCCAATAGGCCCCTCCCACAAGAGGCCCCAAGAGCGCCCCAAACGGCCCCCAAAGAGGGCCCCAAACGGCCCCCAGGAGGCTTCCAAGCTGCCTCCAAAAAGCCCCCGAGAGGCCTCTCACGAGACCCAACGAACATCCACTAAGCGGGTCGCCGGCGGCGTCTTCGATGAGCGCTGTCGCTTGTGCCTGCATCGCTCATGGCATACAACTTTCACAGCTTCGAGTGGCTAATATTATGGGTTCATAGCCTGGGTTCAATTGCTGCGGATGGTGGAACGTGGAATCGAATGTCGTGCGCGCCCAGATACACGTGCGCCCGTAGACGAGGCAGCTGGGCCTACTTCAGACGCCGTCTTGCGGTTGTGCGTTTGCGTGAGCGGACAAAGGAAACCAGCTTGACTGACACCCTGGCGATCGACCAAAGTCTCGAACGGGGCGTGTGAACTGAGCTGTGACCCATCAACATGCCGATGCCGTTTCCGTACATGTCAGCCTACGGCAGCACATGCACCTGCTCAGGCACCCTTCTACAAGTAGGAACAACTTGTTTATACGAAAGACGACAGGCGCAGACTCCGTCGCAGAGCGTCACCCTCCTCCTCCCCTCCTCCTTTCTCGTCCTTCTGGATCACCATCGTCCGCGGTCCTGCATCCATCACTGGATTTCTGCTCTGTCGAAATGGCGGCCTACTTACAGCAACGAGTAGTCGGCGCCGCTCAGCACAGCCTTGGCCTGTCCGAGCGCGTCGATCTCCCCACTGCGCGCCTCCTCCCTTGCATCGAAATCCGCCACCGTGCCCCGAGGCACGAAGTGTAATGTCCTCAGGTCCCTTCGGCTCCTCTACTCTTGGTCGTGCAATGCCCTCTATAAAAGGGGCCATGAACCCCGCGTTCTGGTTGCTCCTGGCCGCCACCAGGGCTTCCCCGCAGACCCTGTGAAGCTTGTCGCAAAACTATTCCTGAGGCTAGAGGGCCCGAAGAGGGCCCAGATGGCCCCAAGAGGCCCCAAAACGGTCCAAGAGGGCCCCGAGACGGCCCAAGAACGCTCCAGGCTCAAGACGGCCTCAAGATGCTCCTGGAGGCCCGCAAGACGCCCCAAGAGGGCTCCAGGGGGCCCCCCAAGAGGGCCTCAAGAGTCAACACTATAGATTTTCCAACAGGTTCTGCCAGATGTTAGCTTGCGTCCGACGCTCCAGGACGGCCCACGATGCTCCCAAGATCGCCCCAAGACGACCCAGGATGTCCCCAGAAGCCCTCAAGACGGCTCAATAAGGCCTCAAGACGACCCAAGAGGCCACCAAGACGGCCAAGAGGGCCCCAGGAGGGGGAACTCGAACTGACATGTCGAGTCCTTCCCCCCTGAGATGCTCCGAGGAAATTTAAGGAGGCCCGCAGGAGCGCCAAAAGAGGCCCAAAGAGGCCCCACGAGGCACCACGACACCCCTAAACTGCCGTCCGATATGCCTCCGAACAGGTCTCCGCATGCATCCAGGAGCCGTCTGACCGACGTTCCAGGCGCAGTGGCGGGATGTGCCGAAGGCCACTAGATCCGCCGCCCCCTGTTGGCTTGCCACAGAGGTGCACCGCGTGTCAGATTGACAAATCATCCCAATAGAGTCTCGGCCGATCGCACCGGCTCGGCGGACAAGACGGTGCTCCTCGGCTTTCCGCCCGATGAGGTCTCATCAAATTCCCAGGTCGCCTGCCTTCCCGTTCTAGACGCCTCCAAGACGGCCTCCAGGACGGCCAAGATGGCCTCCAAGACTGCTGGGATGGCCCCAAGAGTGCCCAAGGTGGGCCCAAGACCCCAGGTGCCCCAAGGCGGCCCAACATCGAGATCGCCCCAGACGGCCCGAGAGGCCCCGAAGACGGTCCGTTCCAAGAAGCCTCCGAGGGGATCTCAAGCACGGATCCACAGGCCAATCTAATCGATTAGTCTTTGATTTTCGCAGGATTCTGGCGTTTGCTCATTTTCGGCGGCACAAGACGGCACCACAGGCCAAGAGGCCTCCGAGAAGCCCCCTGACGGCCCAAGAGGCCCCTAGGACGGCCCCAAGAGGGCCACAAGACGTCCCAGGAGACCTCCAATATGCCCAAGGTGGTCTCCAAGACGGCCCATAAGCGCCCCAAGAGGGCCCCAAGTCGGCTCAGTGAGGCCCCCAAGCGGGCTTCCGACGGGCCAGGAACCGCGGACGTACAAAGAGCCTCCCGAGGAGCCTCCAAAGAAGGCCCCAAGAGGCCCAACCCCAATGAGGCCTCCAAGAAGCCCCCAGGAAGCTCCCAGGCCCCAAGAGTGTCCCCCCAAGAGGCCTCCTCCCCCTTTTTCTTCCCTCTCCTCCTCTTCTTCTTTATCCCCCACACGGTCCCCGAAGGATTTCCACAATTGCTGGGGGAACACGTAGTCCGATAGCCTGGCCGACCTCTGGCCGTTCGGCCACATAAGCGCTTCCAAAGGGAAGGGGGCGGCGGTGATTCGCCCTAGGCGTCTTCGCTACTGGATGAGCCAATCGCATTCGGCATGGAGTTGGGAGAGGTACTTGTCCGTTGCCATGAGCGCCTTGGCCGTGCTGGCGCTGTCGCCCTTGGCCGCCTGCAGGTCGCTCTCCAAATCTGCCTTCTCGGCGGCCTTGGACGTTAGCGCCTTGGAGTCGGTCATCCGCTTGTCCTTCGCGCCCGCGATCGTCTTGTCATAGTCCGCCTGCGAGTCCTTCTCCTCCGTCTCGGCCTCGGTCATCTCCTTTCGGCGGCGGGCCCAGGGGGGGAAGCGAGAAGAAGAAGGCCTTCTTGGAGGGCACAGAAGTCCCCCGGCCTTCTGAGAAGTTCTCTAGGCCTTCCCCGAAGACGCAGGAAACCTGTCAGAAGGCGCGAGGGCTTCTGAGAAGCCCCGTCGCCTTCTGAAAAGGCCATCTCCTTCTCATTTCCCCCCTCGCTCGCCGCCGATCCTTGTCGAGATCGCTGATCAGCAGGTCCATCATGGCAATGACTCCAGCGCTCTCCTCGGACTTCTTCGCGTACGCGCTCCAGGTCTCTGGCGGCGGCGCGGCAGCGCTCGTGCGCCCCGCGCGCTCGGAGACCTGCAACAGCGCCGCCGCGCTGCCCATGTCGCGCTCAATGGCGCCCTGGGCGGAGAGCTCGACCTTGGCCGGCGGGTTGTACAGCTTAGGATCCGCCGCCAGTTGTCGCCTTCGTCGCGGCACACGGGCCCAGAAGCTCGGGGATCTACTGACATAGGTCAATGCAGACCAGGGTCAATGAGGCTTTGCAGGATCCTGCAAGATCCTACAAGGTCCTGCAGGATCCTGCACCCAAACCCGGGTCAATGCACTCCTGGCTCTGCAGGATCCTGGGTCAATGGACCCCTGGCTCTGCAGGATCCTGCAAGGTCCAGCCCTCTGCCTGACCCCCGTTTGCATTGGCCCCCGTTTGCATTGACTCCCGTCTCTTGAGCCCCGAGAAGCAACAACGCCTGTCCGGGAGCTCCGCAAATCCTCCCCCCCCCCTCCCCCGGAGCCCGCCCCCCCTCCCCTCGGCGCGGTGGCGGATGCAGGCGCGGCAGCGCGCGGGGATTGTAAAACTGGTTAAGTCTGTTCTTGGCGAACAGGAGCAGTTCCTTCGCGGCGCCGTCTGCAGCCATCAACGCCTTGTATTCCTCATGCTCGCCCTTGCGCAGCGCCGTCGCCTCCGCGACGCTCTTGTCGAGGGCCGCGATACCGGCCTCCAGCGCTGAGATGTCCTCCGCAGCGCTGCTGATGCTCTCCTCCGTGCTCGCGATGGTGGTCGCGAGGTCCGACGCTTGGCGGGTCAGCGACTTCTTCTTGTCGTCTGTGGAATCAAACTGCGAGCCACAGTACTCTTTCTTCTCCGCGTCATCGGCCTGCTCTCTCTTCAGCAGCACGACCATGTCGTCGATCATTTTGATCACAGTCTCGAACCCGACCTTCTTGCCCCGGAGAGCCAGCACCAGGAAGCCGAGGCGGGCGTGGTCCGCCTCGCTCTTCACCAGCGCATGCTGGATCAAGGCCGCGGCGCGCGCGCGTTGGCTGGTGGTCGTGGTCGCGACCTGCATCAAGCTCGCACTGGGCGCTGGGAGTGTTTTCTCCGCTGGGCCCCCCCCTGGCGGGGGCCAACCAGGCTGCGCGGACCGAGCCCACCCTTTTTGGAGCATCCTGGGCTGGCCAATGGATTTCGTGGGGCCACTTCGGGCACTCTTGAGGCCGCATTCGGCCGATTTTGGTGTCGTGGAGCCATTTTCGTCCCTCTAGTGAACTCCGAATGGTCTCCTGGGACAACGCTGCACCTTCTGGGGGCTTTCCTGTAATGTATCAAGGGCCGCTCTGGGAGCCCCTGGGGGTCCCATTGAGCCTTATCGGGGGCCCGCGATGCCGTGACGGCTCAGCCAAGCCTCAGCGTGAGGAGCACTCGGCGTCCTCCGTCTGAGGTCTCCCTCTGCTCAAAGACTCGCTTGAAGCCCTCCTGAGACGTTCGTAAAGACCTCTGGGACGACCTTCTGAGATGGGGGGCACCGTGGGGCTGCTTTACACTCCGGGAACGCCTTTGGAAGGCACTGCGGCTGACTGGTGACTCAACCTCGGATACCTCTTGCGCCCTCTTGGGGCGACTTGGAACTCCTGGAGCCTCCCAGGTGGGCGGATCTTGGAGAAGCCGGGGGGTGGGGAGTGGGGTGTGGGGGGGACGGAATGTGCAATTGGAGCCCTGAGGGTATGCTGAAGATCATGCCGCGGGGCCAAGCTTCGCACGTACTAGATACAGTGCTTGGGCCCTGCCACCAAACAGTTTGCAACAAAAAGGCACAACTCGTATTCAAACGCATATGCAGCGGCCATGCTGTGGTAAACAATTATCTGCTCATGATGCATTACGCCCTCGCGGTTTCTACTCGAACGTATGTTCTCACAAGTTAGCCATCGTGAACCCCAAACACGTGTTTTGTTTGCTGTTGAGTTGGGAACTACGTCGCGTATCTAAGTTTAGCCAGCTCATGAGCTGCCAACTCCAGTGCTCGCGCAATCACCCCACCTTCCCAACAACAACCTGTTTTGCACAACCACTGTGGACGCGATTGTGGTGACTACTTGGTCCAAACTGGCGCATCTTTGTTACCGCGCTACCGCGAGCAAGCTCGCGCGCAGAGCGACCAGCTGGGTTGGCACAACCAATGCGGCGGCGATGGCGCTCACTGATGGAACTTCCAAACGCGTTTCAACGGCCGCGGTGGCGCACAGGCAATTCAGCGCGGGTCGGTGACGCCGACATCGGCGGCAACGATGATGGTAATATCGATGGTGATGGCGATGATGACGATAACGACGGCAACACCAATGGCGGAGGCCGGTGCTAGTGACGACGATGACGGTGATGCAGATGTCCATGTGTCGGTGATGCAGGTGGCTGACTGGTGATGGCGGCAATGGCGGCGACTGGCGATGGCGATTCTGGTGGTGGCGCCGTGGCGCTGATGAGGGCCATGGCGAGTAAGTGTGCGCGCGCGGGGGAATTCAAGACACCTGGTCGACGTCACGATGAAAACCACTTTTTAGTGTTTTGTTTTGATTTATGTTTTTCCATATGTTCTTAACAATATATTTCTTGAAACGCGACGAATACCAATGGTGTTTGGAAGGCTTTCGAAACGATCGCGTGGCGGCGCGTGCGTGTGGCCCGCTTGGTAGCATTTGATACGGATTCGCGCGCTTGGCGCATGCTGGATCTAGGAGGATGCGCCGCGTGGCGAGATGATATCGAGGGTTCTGGACGAGATGGCTTGACGCGCATGGTCTCCTAAGAAAGTTCAGCAAATGCGCGCGGGCAAAGGCTCTGCAGTCTTTGCAACGGGGAACCGGAGGGTGCTTGATTGTTCTATGTTGAACTGCCTTCATAACGAATGTGTTTGGCCTGGTTCCGACATGTGCGCGCTTGTGGACTTTGCGCGTGTTCCCAAAGTCCCGAGCTGATCTCCTGTTATTACTTAGGCGCAGCCGACCCCCTCTCACACACACACACGCCTTTCCCTCCTCATCCTCCTCCTCGTCCTCTTCCTCCCCCGACCCCCCTTGAAGCTCATGCTCACATTCGCTCGCACTCAGACTCACTCGCACTCAGACCAACTCACACTTAGACTCACTCATACTCACACTCATTCCTACTCATACTGTTTCGCGCTGTGACTTACTCGCGCTCAGACGCTTACACACACTCAGGCTCACTCTCAGTGAGACTCGACCAGTCGTACTCACATTCACTCACACTGAAACTCATCACTGCACATGTTCAGAATATGTCACACTCAGGCTCAAGTTGTCAAGATGCCTGAGGCGAGACGATTTTTTCGACACTCCCGAAGGGGAGCCGCCAGGGTGTTTGTACGGGCCCGTTCGCGCCCACATTGTGGGGATGGCTCAAGCGGTGTGCCTTGTTCGGTGCCCAGTCTCGTCTGGTCTAATAGCAGGGTGTGAAAACGCCTCGCACCGATCCAGCCAATGCACGAGGCGCCCACGAGCGCTTGCGAGGCGGGACGGGCGGAAACGTGGCGCAACCTGGGCTTGCCCGCGCAACGCACGGGGCACCCGCGAGAACCCGCGAGGCGGCACGGGCGGCAACGCGGCGCAACAGGCGCCCACGAGCGCCCACGAGGCGGCACGGGCGGCAACGCGGCGCAACCTCGGCCGACCCACCCACCGCACGGGGCGCCAACGAACGTGGAACATCCCCGGCTGACCTGTCCAATTACTTACGCAACGCAAGGGCGAACCACTGTGTGCACAAACTGTTTGCGGGATGTACGCAAATCTGGGTCCCAAACAATGTGTCATTGCACTGTGGACGTGAAACACGTAGGATGTAGAGCATTTGGTGCAAATGGTGTCGTGAAGCTATGTGGCGTGTACTGTAGAGGTGTAAGTTATGTGGGGTGGCCAACGGGGTGTGAATGGTGTAAACTGTGCAGTGGTCCTGTGTTTATATGCATGTGTCCCTGAATATATACGTGTATGTATGTATATGTGGATGCATGTCTGTATACACGATCGCATGGGTACTCGCAGACATGCCTGGATGTGTGCATGCATGTATGCATATATATATGTATGTATACCATATACAATGTTATACAGGTGTGTCCGCATGTACGCATGAATGTTCGCATGCATGTGTGTGTATGTATGTGTGTATGTATGTATGTATGTATGTATGTGTGTATGTATGTTTGTTGCTGGCACGCTGCGCGAACACCGCGCTTCCGCGCCCGTAGCTGCGGGTGCCACGGTGCACGCGTGGCGGAACGCGCTGGCTGTCGAACTGCACCTCTTCGAGCACTGGCGGGGCTGGGGGGGAAGAACCAAAAACATCGGGATGACGACGACGGTCCAACAAGGAATTGTTTGTGGGCGGCATCTCGGATAGATTGGGTGTGGAAGGGGGGTCGTGGTATCGACCTCTGCGAAGTGGAGCTGGCGGCAACGATCCCCGAATAGCTTTCGAATATTCAGCTCTTGTTTTCTCCGCCCAGTTCAACCGGGGGTGGCCTACCCTCCTGCGTGTCCACTGCCTGGGTTGCAGTGTGATGGGGCCAAATGTAACTCCATGAGCAGGGTGATTCGGTCCAGCTCGGGCAAAGGCTTGGTCGAGTAACGATTTGTTCCTATCGTACGCTGCGCTGAACTTCATGACGTGGTTGCGTTCTCTTCCTCCCGGTCGGAGCGCGTTGTCGGCCGCTTCGTAAACTCGTTCATTCGTGATGGCGTTGTTGACGTATGTTGTTCCAGCTCCAAGATTTTCTGGAGTCCTTTGAGCTGAAGGGCGTCCAATCGATTCAATGTGCCCTGTGTAAGCTGGGCTGATTCGAGTCCGTACAGGAGTTTAGATTTGTTGACTGCATCCTGCACTTGTAATCTGAATTCGGCAGGACAGCTGCTGTGCCTCCAGAACAGGTCCATGTTCTTCAGCGTGGCAATGCACGCCCCGATTCGTGCTTGTACTTCCCGCGTGCTGTCGCATTTTGAGTTCAAACGGCATCCCAAGTATTTTACCTCGTCCGCGCGCTTGACCTTGGTGCCATCAGCAAAATGCACGTTGCGATGGCCACGGGCTGCGTCTACCTCGCACTTCCCCTTGTTCAGTTTCATTACATATTATCTGGATCCTTTCCGTTCGATTCCTGCCATAATCCTGTTCAGTGGCCTGGTGTATTTAGAGACAACAGTCGCGTCATCTGCGCAAAAAATGTCATCGAAATTCGCCCCCTGTGCCCTGTGCCCCGCTATGGCGTTGTCAACGGCCTGGTGGGCATCGTGGAACACGACAGTCATGGCAACCAACAACAGGTATGGCGATCGGGGGCAGCCCTGCTGGATTCCAGAATCCTGCGAGTACCAGTCGGATGTCTGTACGTCGTATACAACTTTGAACTTGGGGTCTTGGTACAATGACTTGATTACGTTTTGCAACTTAGCGGGCACTCCCGTCCTGTGCAGAACCGAAAACAAACCGTTCCGGGTGAGTTTGTCAAAACCTTTCCCCCAGCCAAGTAATACCAGAGAGGCCTGTTGGCCTGTGATATCTGCCTCTTCTGCGGCCCTGCGCACGCAGTGCATGGCTACCGAGGTGGATCTCTTTGCTCGAAATCCGAAGTGCGTCCGTTGCGCGCGTGGTTCCAAGCCTGCCGCGAATCGCCTTTGCATCAGCGCCGCGTATATATTGTAACATGTGTTCAATAAAGATATCGGCTTGTAGTTGGCTAGGTTGCTCGTGTCTCCTTTTTTGAATATCAGAATTACGCGAGCCTCGAACGCATCTGACGGGGTGCGTTCGTTGCCCCACCCTTCGCTCAGATGGGCCCAGATTGGGTCCACGGGGCGCTCTGTGAGTTCCATGGAAATCTGCGTAGGAATGCCGTCGGATCCAGCGGCCCTGCGGCGCCTCAGCTTCGCTACTATTGCTGTCAGTTTTTCCTTGCGCAGAGGCCCTAGGTCTACGTGAACCAGTGCTGCGACGGTAGGAGCAGCGCTAAGAACTAAGGTTTCGGCTGCTTGGCGCCCCCATTGCTGTCGCCAAATGCTTGGCCATTTCTTCCAACATCTGAAGCC